TGCATTACTGCGCCCATAGATGTGAGGCTGGGTTGGGCGGAGAGAGCAGGAGAGGCGCCCCGAGGCGCCCGTCCTGGGGCACGCCAGATTAATGGCTACAAGGCAGAGGACGCAGCGCAGAATGAGGCTGCCTGTTGCCTGTCAGCAGGCAACCTCTTCCCCAAAATTAACACGCAGCCCATTATCCCAGGTATGCCAGCCCCTTTTTCCTGCGGGGCTGGCTTGGTCGGAGAGGCTGGCTTGGTCGGGGAGAGGCTGGCTTGGTCGGAGAGAGGCTGGCTTGGTCGGAGAGAGGCTGGCTTGGTCGGAGAGAGGCTGGCTTGGTCGGGGAGGCTGGCTTGGTCGGGGAGGTTGGCTTGGTCGGGGAGGTTGGCTTGGTCGGGGAGGTTGGCTTGGTCGGGGAGGCTGGCTTGGTCGGGGAGGATAACCCATAACAACATGGGTTATCACTTCGTGATAACCCATGTTGATGGGTTATCACGAAGTCCCTTCTCTCCAGATGTGTTACTAGGTTTTTTCTCACAATCTTCTCCATCACCTTGCATGGTATACAAGTTAAGGACACTGGCCTGTAGTTCATTGCCTCCTGTCTGTCACCCTTTTCCGTATACTGGGACTACATTAGCAGTCTTCCATATTTCTGGTAGGTCTCCCGTTTCCAGTGACCTACTATACACTATGGCAAAGTATGGCAAAATATTAGCGGAGAGTGGCAAACAGAGTGCTCCTCTACACTCTTTCAATACCCATGGTGAGATTCCGTCCGGCCCAACAACCTTTCTCACGTCAGCTCCAATAGGTGCCTCGTGATCTCATCTCTTGTAATTTCGAGCCCTTCCAAGGTCGCCTGGTTTGCTGCTACCTCTCCTAGTGCCGTGACCTCTCCTTGTTCTATTGTAAAGACCTCCTGGAACCTTTTGTTGAGTTCTTCACACACCTCTTTGTCATTCTCTGTGTACCTGTCCTCACCCGCTCTAAGTTTCATCACCTGTTCCTTCACTGTTGTTTTCCTCCTTATGTGACTGTGGAGTAGCTTTGGTGTGTGGTGTGTGTGTGTGTGTGTGTGTGTGTGTGTGTGTGTGTGTGTGCGCAACCCGTTCTCACAAATTCGTAAAGTCAATATTGACTTATTAACTACGTGCATAGGTGATATACTAAACATAATAGATACCCTTAAAAAGATTCATAGAAAACACCGACCTTACCTAAACTTGTTAGTATTTTAAGATAAGCATCTTATTGCTTCGTAATTACAATTATTACTTAACCTATACCTATTATAGGTTTGGTAATAATTGTAATTACGAAGCACTAAGATGCTTATCTTAAGATATTAACAAGGTTAGGTAAGGTCGGTGTTTTCTATGAATTTTTTTAAGGGTATCTATTATGTTAAGTATGTCACCTATGCACATATTTAATAAGTCAATATTGACTTATTAAATTTGCGAGAACGGGTTGGTGTGTGGTGCGACGGGGCTGTCAATCAGTCTATAATAGTGGTGTTTGAAAAAGTGAAAAACGAATACTAACGCATGAACACTACTTGCATGTTCAGCAAAATTATAATCAAATAGTTTCCCATTTTGCATCATGCATACTACCAAATGTATATTCACATGAAACCCTTCATGAGAATATACATACTGAATGAATGGCTTCGTCCAATGCCACGCAACTGATGGGTTAGTCTTTTGTTAAACATACACTGTATAAACACCAGAGGTCCGCGGTTATTCAACATCCTCCCAGCGAGCATAAGAAAAATATTGCCGGAACAACCGTGGACATCTTCAAGAGGAAACTAGATAGCTTGCTTCAAGAAGTGCTGGACCAGCCGGGCTGTGGTGGATATGTAGGCCTGCGGGCCGCTCCAAGCAACAGCCTGGTGGACCAAACTCTCACAAGTCATGCCTCGGGCCGGGCTGGGGAGCAGAAGAACTCTCAGAACCCCATCAACCAGCTATCACGCAGGTAATAACTAAATATTTCAACCTGTCACCCAAAATCCATAGTACTTATAACAACTTTTGGTCAAATGTACAAAAAATTTTAAGGTTTGTTCAATTAATTTTGAGGATAAGAGAAACAAGGCAATAACAAGATTAGTTGATTAGTATACATCAACCCAAGTTGATGTATATTAGGCCTAGGACATGTTACATCAAGCTGTAAAGTTATTGTTAAACTTTTGGAGTAATCCCGAAGTTAACATTTTGAACTTTATTGGGATGCAACAGTCCATTTTTGGACGTTCGACCATTAGTTGCTGTGAGTATTATCATTTTTGGAGGCAGAAATGAAATATTATACAAAAAATTTAAATGAATAGTTAAAACTTATTTGCATAAACTCATCGAGGGTAGAAGGGAAACCGAGCATGAGACAAGTGTTCCCCCTTTGGCTCCCATCACCCAGGCGCTGGCACTATGAAACTGCGAAAACCTTAAGCGCCATTGCCCCAGGTGTCAGGAATTCCAATCCTAATTAGAGAGAGTGGTTCCGATCCTCCATCCCCTATACTCGCTGCTGAGTTGTCTCCTTGTATTTCTCGATGTCAGGGACACGAAGTACTTAAGACGTTACGCGAAGGGAAATGTCTCTAATCATTTCCGTCCGTCCGGGCATCGAACTACGTCTGGACGTTGAGCAGTGTACTGCAGGTCGGAGGTGAACACTCATGTGTAGCCTTAGACTGACTGTGTGAGTCTTAGCGGAACACGCTGTAACCTCGTGTGGGTGAGAAGCATAACATAAGGATAACCTGGATTATGGGACCACAGACATCCCAGTTGGTCTCTGCCAGGCTCTTGGTTCTGATACAGGCAGAGCACACTGTATATTGTGAGGACTCCGTTACTTAACAGCCTCTTTGCCAGCAAATATATTGTAGTGGGTAAGGCGGAGCAGAGAGACGCTCGACCATCAGTTCTGTGAGCGTGTGGGTCGAGGCGAGTGCTAGTACCAGAGATACATTATTTAACCCTTCCGCAATACTTAAGTCAATTTAAGAAGAATTCCGTGCAACCGAAAATCCTTGCCACAGATCATTCCGTAAAATTCAAGAGTTTCGTGAAACCTCTGAAGGTGGTGAGGATGAAAACAATGTTATAACCCCTGATCACGGCTTGTGTGTGTAATTGTGGCTGCTGCAGAATTTTAACTACATGTATGCTACTGTGAGAATTTGTTCGTGTGATTTAATTGACCTTGAGCATGTTGGTCGTCAAGGTCCTCCAGCAGCGATCCACTACAGTGGCTTAAGGGCTCTTCCAAACAAAAATGGTTAGGAATCACTGCTCAAGGGAGTGGTGGACATTGATGAAGATTAGGCCACTCAAGAGGTGGCACGGGCATGAATAACCCGTGAAGTGGCGGCCAGAGTTACCCTTACCATCACTCCACTTGGAGCCATATGTAATGACTGGTGTCTTGCCTATGTTATATAAATGTACTCGAATGCACATTAATTATCCCTAAATTCATGACGAAGGGAAGATCACACGTTTCTCATCAGTTGCTGTAGTGTTAACTTGATAGTATTTGTTAAATGTTGGTTAACACGTTAAGCTTATTACAGTCCTGTCCTGGACCAGTTGGTGTTCTTCGGGCACCAGTTAAAGTTTGTTCTTTGAACCTGTCTTTCCTCCGTGGCAAACAGCCAACTTATTTCTGTATACTGAGATATAAAGCCAAACTCCATTTAAAAGCCCAACCACTTGGGCTGGGCGGTAAAGCGACGATCTCGCTTCATGCAGGTCGACGCTCAGTCCCCGACTCTCCAAGTGGCTGGGCACCATTCCTTCCTCCCCTCCCGTCCCATCCCAAATCCTTATCCCGACCCCTTCCCAGTGTTACATTGTCGTCATGGCTTGGCGCTTTCTTCTGACAGTTCCCTTCCCTTCCATTTAATTAATTATAACCAGGAATTAATTAAGGTAGCATCAAGCCTCCTCAGTCAACCCTCAAATTAACCTATTGGATAATTACTTATGATCCCTTAATGCAGGTCCATCTATCGACTTTTTAACATACAAGAGTTGTTACATTCTTGTACAGCCACTAACACGCGCAGCGTTTCGGGCAGGTCATTAATCCTAATTTTTCCCCGGAATACGATCTGTTAAATCGTTTAACCACCAGGTTACCCATGCACTGCTGGGTGAACAGAGGCCAGTTAAGGACTGGCGCCCAGTCACTCCTCCACCGGCCAGGATACGAATCCAGGCCAAAGCGGTCGCGAAGCGCGAGGCGAGTGCTGCACTACATCACCACATCATCGCGGCGCATCATGACAAAAGTAATCTCAAGGAAAGTGACAATGTTATGGTGTTGATCATCACGCCTATTGTAAAACTCTCCCTCAAGACCAGTCTAGCATCGAGAGGTGAGGCTTCTTGCTAAAGGTTGGCCTTTGCTCAAGCACCCTTTTCATATCTAAGCACCAAGAACCAGCCTGTTGGACCAAGCTCTCGCAAGTCAAGCTTGGCCCAGCTGGCCGCGCAGAACTCCCAGAACCTCATCCAGGTACAATCCAGGCACTAGAATTACATCTGGCACAACCAAAAATGGAATGTAGTGAGGTTCTGCCAGCAGCAGGCATACTTTATGTTCACCAAAAGCTTACATAATACTGTTATGGAGATGATAAGAGCCATACAAGAGAGGTATACAAGTCGTGGACGCCACGCATCACTTACCACCCATAAATAACACAAGCTGACGAACCATTGTTCAGAATGAACGCTCACTCTCAGCCCCCCGCTTCCTCCTAATCTGTCAAAGTTAGGGGGACACCGCAAAATTAATGAAACTAAACTGTGAACTGCTTCTCGCCCGCATAAAACAAAGTTCGTCTGAGCTTCATAATCGATGTTTGAGCTCGAGGCGGCAATTTCCATTCCCGGGGGCAACTAATTTAGGGCAAAACACAGATTTTTCTTTCACCTACTCTTGTTAGTGAGGCATTGTGGCGAGATGGCTGCCACGGACCAGCGCAACTATGGCGGACGGGACAGGCAGGTGGGTAGGTCGCCGGACAGGGAGGTGGATAGGTCGCCGGACAGGGAGGTGGGTAGGTCGCCGGACAGGGAGGTGGGTAGGTCGCCGGACAGGGAGGTGGGTAGGTCGCCGGACAGGGAGGTGGGTAGGTCGCCGGACAGGCAGGTGGGTAGGTCGCCGGACAGGCAGGTGTGTAGGACGCCGGACAGGGAGGTGGATAGGTCGCCGGACAGGGAGGTGGGTAGGTCGCCGGACAGGGAGGTGGGTAGGTCGCCGGACAGGCAGGTGGATAGGTCGCCGGACAGGCAGGTGGATAGGTCGCCGGACAGGGAGGTGGATAGGTCGCCGGACAGGGAGGTGGGTAGGTCGCCGGACAGGCAGGTGGATAGGTCGCCGGACAGGCAGGTGGATAGGTCGCCGGACAGGGAGGTGGATAGGTCGCCGGACAGGGAGGTGGGTAGGTCGCCGGACAGGCAGGTGGGTAGGTCGCCGGACAGGGAGATGGGTAGGTCGCCGGACAGGGAGATGGGTAGGTCGCCGGACAGGGAGCTGGGTAGGTCGCCGGACAGGGAGGTGGATAGGTCGCCGGACAGGGAGGTGGGTAGGTCGCCGGACAGGGAGGTGGGTAGGTCGCCGGACAGGGAGGTGGGTAGGTCGCCGGACAGGGAGGTGGGTAGGTCGCCGGACAGGGAGGTGGATAGGTCGCCGGACAGGGAGGTGGGTAGGTCGCCGGACAGGGAGGTGGATAGGTCGCCGGACAGGGAGGTGAGTAGGACGCCGGACAGGGAGGTGGATAGGTCGCCGGACAGGGAGGTGAGTAGGACGCCGGACAGGGAGGTGGATAGGTCGCCGGACAGGGAGGTGAGTAGGACGCCGGACAGGGAGGTGGATAGGTCGCCGGACAGGGAGGTGAGTAGGACGCCGGACAGGGAGGTGGATAGGTCGCCGGACAGGGAGGTGAGTAGGACGCCGGACAGGGAGGTGGATAGGTCGCCGGACAGGGAGGTGAGTAGGACGCCGGACAGGGAGGTGGATAGGTCGCCGGACAGGGAGGTGAGTAGGACGCCGGACAGGGAGGTGGATAGGTCGCCGGACAGGGAGGTGAGTAGGACGCCGGACAGGGAGGTGGGTAGGTCGCCGGACAGGGAGGTGAGTAGGACGCCGGACAGGGAGGTGGGTAGGTCGCCGGACAGGGAGGTGAGTAGGACGCCGGACAGGGAGGTGGGTAGGTCGCCGGACAGGGAGGTGAGTAGGACGCCGGACAGGGAGGTGGATAGGTCGCCGGACAGGGAGGTGAGTAGGACGCCGGACAGGGAGGTGGATAGGACGCCGGACAGGGAGGTGGGTAGGACGCCGGACAGGGAGGTGGATAGGTCGCCGGACAGGGAGGTGGATAGGTCGCCGGACAGGGAGGTGGATAGGTCGCCGGACAGGGAGGTGGATAGGTCGCCGGACAGGCAGGTGGGTAGGTCGCCGGACAGGGAGGTGGATAGGTCGCCGGACAGGGAGGTGGATAGGTCGCCGGACAGGGAGGTGGATAGGTCGCCGGACAGGCAGGTGGGTAGGTCGTCGGACAGGCAGGTGGGTAGGTCGTCGGACAGGGAGGTGGATAGGTCGCCGGACAGGGAGGTGGATAGGTCGCCGGACAGGGAGGTGGATAGGTCGCCGGACAGGGAGGTGAGTAGGTCGCCGGACAGGGAGGTGGATAGGTCGCCGGACAGGGAGGTGGATAGGTCGCCGGACAGGGAGGTGGGTAGGTCGCCGGACAGGGAGGTGGATAGGTCGCCGGACAGGGAGGTGGATAGGTCGCCGGACAGGGAGGTGGATAGGTCGCCGGACAGGGAGGTGGGGTCCAGACGACACCACAAGACTTACTCTTCATTCCACATTTCCAAAAAGTTAATTTTCAATATACCTCTTCTATTCCATTCACGTGGGCTGTAGGAGACTCGAACCATGGACCCCACGCGTTTGAGGCCAAAGCTCTATCGACAGGGCTATGAATAGTCATAATAAGAAACACTTATTTCCACGTTAGAGTGAATGACAATTTATATACCTCTTCTTGATATATAAGATTAAACTGTAATGTCAACCCTGACCTTCCCTCTCTATCTTCTTTAATCCACACAAAAAAGGACCCATTTTTATTACTTTACTTGGAGCTCGACTGACCACTTACTGCACTTTTCTTCAATTTTGGTCATGCCGTCCAGCAGTCCTTCCATCGTGTTGACCCTCGGAATGTTAGGTACCTTTCCGGCTGCTAATATTGGCTCCAGCAGTCTCACTATATATGTGATGTCTACGGACGGTAAGTCCCTCGGCTGGAAAGGTAAGAACAGAGGAAAGGCGACCTGCCAGAGCCCTCACCGACCTGCCAGAGCCCTCACCGACCTGCCAGAACCCTCACCGACCTGCCAGAGCCCTCACCGACCTGTCAGAGCCCTCACCGACCTGCCAGAGCCCTCACCGACCTGCCAGAACCCCCACCGACCTGCCAGAGCCCCACCGACCTGCCAGAGCCCTCACCGACCTGCCAGAACCCCCACCGACCTGCCAGAACCCCCACCGACCTGCCAGAGCCCCCACCGACCTGCCAGAGCCCCACCGACCTGCCAGAGCCCTCACCGACCTGCCAGAGCCCTTACCGACCTGCCAGAACCCCCACCGACCTGCCAGAGCCCTTACCGACCTGCCAGAACCCCCACCGACCTGCCAGAGCCCCCACCGACCTGCCAGAGCCCTCACCGACCAGCCAGAGCCCTAACCCACCTGCCAGAACCCCCACCGACCTGCCAGAGCCCTTACCGACCTTCCAGAACCCCCACCGACCTGCCAGAGCCCTTACCGACCTGCCAGAACCCCCACCGACCTGCCAGAGCCCTTACCGACCTGCCAGAGCCCTCACCGACCTGCCAGAGCCCTTACCGACCTGCCAGAACCCCCACCGACCTGCCAGAGCCCTTACCGACCTGCCAGAACCCCCACCGACCTGCCAGAGCCCTTACCGACCTGCCAGAGCCCTTACCGACCTGCCAGAGCCCCCACCGACCTGCCAGAGCCCTTACCGACCTGCCAGAGCCCCCACCGACCTGCCAGAGCCCTCACCGACCTGCCAGAGCCCCCACCGACCTGCCAGAGCCCTTACCGACCTGCCAGAGCCCTCACCGACCTGCCAGAGCCCTTACCGACCTGCCAGAGCCCTTACCGACCTGCCAGAGCCCCCACCGACCTGCCAGAACCCTCACCGACCTGCCAGAGCCCTCACCGACCTGCCAGAGCCCTTACCGACCTGCCAGAACCCCCACCGACCTGCCAGAGCCCTTACCGACCTGCCAGAGCCCTCACCGACCTGCCAGAGCCCTTACCGACCTGCCAGAACCCCCACCGACCTGCCAGAGCCCTTACCGACCTGCCAGAACCCCCACCGACCTGCCAGAGCCCTTACCGACCTGCCAGAGCCCTTACCGACCTGCCAGAGCCCCCACCGACCTGCCAGAGCCCTTACCGACCTGCCAGAGCCCCCACCGACCTGCCAGAGCCCTTACCGACCTGCCAGAACCCCCACCGACCTGCCAGAGCCCTTACCGACCTGCCAGAGCCCTCACCGACCTGCCAGAGCCCTTACCGACCTGCCAGAGCACTTACCGACCTGCCAGAGCCCTTACCGACCTGCCAGAGCCCCCACCGACCTGCCAGAACCCTCACCGACCTGCCAGAGCCCTTACCGACCTGCCAGAGCCCCCACCGACCTGCCAGAGCCCTTACCGACCTGCCAGAGCCCTCACCGACCTGCCAGAGCCCTTACCGACCTGCCAGAGCCCTCACCGACCTGCCAGAGCCCTTACCGACCTGCCAGAGCCCTTACCGACCTGCCAGAACCCCCACCGACCTGCCAGAGCCCTTACCGACCTGCCAGAACCCCCACCGACCTGCCAGAGCCCTTACCGACCTGCCAGAACCCCCACCGACCTGCCAGAGCCCTTACCGACCTGCCAGAACCCCCACCGACCTGCCAGAGCCCTTACCGACCTGCCAGAGCCCTCACCGACCTGCCAGAACCCCCACCGACCTGCCAGAGCCCTTACCGACCTGCCAGAACCCCCACCGACCTGCCAGAGCCCTCACCGACCTGCCAGAACCCCCACCGACCTGCCAGAACCCCCACCGACCTGCCAGAGCCCTTACCGACCTGCCAGAACCCCTACCGACCTGCCAGAACCCCCACCGACCTGCCCGAGCCCTCACCGACCTGCCAGAGCCCTCAACGACCTGCCGAACCCCCACCGACCTGCCAGAGCCCTCACCGACCTGCCAGAGCCCTCACCGACCTGCCAGAACCCCCACCGACCTGCCAGAGCCCTCACCGACCTGCCAGAGCCCTCACCGACCTGCCAGAACCCCCACCGACCTGCCAGAACCCCCACCGACCTGCCAGAGCCCTCACCGACCTGCCAGAGCCCTCACCGACCTGCCAGAACCCCCACCGACCTGCCAGAGCCCTCACCGACCTGCCAGAGCCCTCACCGACCTGCCAGAACCCCCACCGACCTGCCAGAACCCCCACCGACCTGCCAGAGCCCTCATCGACCTGCCAGAGCCCTCACCGACCTGCCAGAGCCCTCACCGACCTGCCAGAGCCCTCACCGACCTGCCAGAACCCCCACCGACCTGCCAGAGCCCCCCACCGACCTGCCAGAGCGCCACCGACCTGCCAGAGCCCCACCGACCTGCCAGAGCCCTCACCGACCTGCCAGAGCCCCACCGAGAGGGGGGAGGGGGGGAGAGAGGGGAGAGAGAGGGGAGAGAGAGGGGAGAGAGAGAGAGAGAGAGAGAGAGAGAGAGAGAGAGAGAGAGAGAGAGAGAGAGAGAGAGAGAGAGAGAGAGAGAGTGAACGAGCAGATGTGCTGGCTGCTGAAGGCGCTGAAGGAGACCATATTGAATACTTCATACCCAAGACTCTGCTACAAATTAGAGGTATTGTCAGGCAACATCA